CGGTAGATAAGGCTGCATGTATGTACTCATATATCATGCAGCACCGCAGCCGCTTCATATCAATCCCTTCGCTTCATATTGTACTTCGCAAATGAAGCGATACGAGCTTCAACATCCTTAGGACTTTTGTGGGCGGGTGACTGTCCTGCCCCTCTCCTGACCTGTCCATGGAGGTATAGGGTCTGCCCATCTTCGCGTTTGTATATTTATTCTGCGGTTTTCGCTGGGTTCAATTTGTGGTCCAAAAGGAAACGATGGCGCTGCATATCATCACTTGAACTTCAGCTTACATTAACGTCTGTAAGTACGAAACGTTTTTCATCTTTCCATCTCCCAATCTGTGAATATTCGTTGTCACGACTACCGTAATAAAGGTCCATTTCAGCTCTCTCAAGGCATCTGCGATATTTCATTCGTCACCTCACCGTACGAGTTTTTTACGGAACTTCGTGACTCGTCAGCCTCTCCACGGACCTCTCAACATGAAGCTACTTCACCTCCGCTCATCACTCCATCCACCTCGCACACCTCTTCTGCTCAACTTCCCCCTACCCTCACAGCAAACAGTGACCACAATGCTTCCAGGTATGGTCTCAGAAATTTTCTGTTTACTCGAGTGCTAGATTACTGTCATGACATTGCGCAATAGGACAACACAAGGACACATTACGCGATTGCATAAAGAAGTGGCACAGCGTGCAGTCGTAGAGGCCGTACCACTTTCGGGGTTTGGAAGGGAGTGGCGAGGGCGCTGGAGTCGTGTTAGTCCTAACTGCTCCAGCATTGGCGGCGATCCAGAAATCGACGACGCTACATTCATGTTTGTGTGAAATCGTACCTGTATCCTCACTCGTTCCGTTTAGATCTTCCAGTGGTGACAGTAGACTGGGAAAAGGAGGGCCTTATTCAGGGCGCCTATAGCCGTCTTCTTGTTTATCTTTAGTTGTGAATCACTTTCCTTCTGAAGTTTCATATCTGAACCCCACTACCCACGACCTGCAGAAGTGGAATATGCCATTGTTGATGATTTACAGTAGAGAAAGGTGTGGTGCTCTTGAAGCTTGAAAGGGCAGATGAAAGGGCTTGAGCCTCAGTTACGGTGACGGTGAAAGTTACTCCGTCTTGCAAGTTCAAAGGAGGGTTGTGGAGCTGCCACCCACGTATGGCAGGGTCTAAAATCGTGAACTCACGCGACTATCTTTCTCTGGACGTCACTCTTTTATTTGGCCCATTTCGCCTCTTCTCTCTGCTTTCAAAGAATGACTGATTGAAAAGATAGTCAGAGGCAAGCGCCACGGTAAATCCCCAAAAGTGTAGGACCCACTAATTCGGCGCCCTATCAGGACAGAATTCGGCGTCCATGTCTAGGCGCTGCATGGCGTTTTTTTCCCAGGGAAGCTGCAACATACCGACCCGTACGCTCACCGCGCCCACCCACCTACATACGTACGACCTATCGTGATGCTCGTATCGCTTCGTTTGCGAAGTACAATGTGAAGCGAAGGGATTGATACCGAGCGGCTGCGAGGCTGCATAGATATATTAGTACATACATGCAGCCGTATCTATTTACCGTAGCTGTTATTGGCACAATGGGCCGGTGCTCCGGTCAGCTGGTAATGTTAAGCGGTGCTTACCATAGAGAAAACAATTACAGAGATTTGAGCAGCACATCAATCAGTCATACAAAGAACGACTTGTAGAAAAGATAGTTAAAGGCAAGTGGCACGATAAATTCTAGCGTGTAGGATAATTACCTCAGCAGGACAGAATTGGGCGCTCCTGTCCAGGTGCTGTGTGCCGCGTTTTCCAAGGAAGGTACCTTTCCAGCGCTGAGCTGCAACATACCGACCCGTGTGACCACCGTGCCTGCCCGCCCACAAATGTCCGACCTATCCTATCCTGATGCTCGTGTCGCTTCCTTCGCGAAGTACAATGTGAAGCGAAGGGATTGGTACGGAGCAGCTGCGTGCAGCATGGATATATGAGTACATACAAGCAGCCGCATCTACCGTAGAAATCATTGGCACGATGCCAACGGGAAACTTCCAAAATTGGGTCATAAGTACAAACGCTTTCCTTGCATGTGTTTTTGACCGTTTCACCTCGCTTTTTCGTCATTCTCCCTCTAAGTAGCACTTGAGTTTGTAGCCTGCTGCCATTTTTCCATCCAGGTGGAATTAAGCCTACCCAGAAATGAGCTTCAAGCTCTTCATCATTTCCCGTCCAATCAAGTTTGCAGATAGTGCTTTCTTCAGAATTTCTACTAAAGATTTCGATGGTTTCAGCTCTGAAACCCCTGCTGGTGGATTTTCAAATCCGGATGACGGTCAGACAGCATCGTCTCGTTGTGCTTCTATCGAATCGGCCACGCCACCGCCAGCATCGATGGATCACTTCAATACCGTTCTCTCAACGCTGTTCGGTAAAGGAGAACCTGCCAAAGATGTGCGCGTGATCAACGGGGTAAGTGGTTCGGTCTCATTTCATGCCGTCTTACTGGTCATATATGAGTTATTTTTCCAGCCCCCACCAAAGGCCACATCGCCTGCTCCAGAGATCCCTGGCCCTGGACAGATCAAGTGCCGCTTGTGTGGCATTACAGTCAGTTGCAAAAAGTAAGTCTCCTCTCATGTCAGGGAATATGAAGGATTTCTTCTCCCAATCTGTAGCCGTTCCTTTCAGAATCGCCAATCTGACTGCTCATGCTTTGAAGATCCACACACCAGTACCGCTGTGGAAATGCCCGAAAGGCGATTGTGAATTCGACCACGCGGATTTCACCAGGGTGAGCTTTGCTTATACCACCCGATGTGGTGGGAGTGATAATGTTAGATTCACTCGTAGCGGTTCCGGCCTTACTAGTAAGAAGTCGCTAACCATAAGTCCTTTGCATATCACTCATAAGCCTGTGACACGTTTTTGGCATGCCGGAACTACATTCGCGCTCTTCGCAAGTTTAGTATCAACGTTACTACTTGCTAAAAGGATAACCCATGGCTATTTTCACGTAGCAATTCAAAACTTATTCAATGCGTCAGCCACAAGTGAAGAATAAATTCTTTGCCGCCTCAGTCCCCTTTTTTGGGGCGATGCGGCAGGCATTCTGCTTCTGTTCAGAATCGTATAGCTTACTGAATGCGATGTGGCCTATACATGAGGCCAAACGGTTTACAAGTCAGTGTTCTTATCCTCATGGTATCAATTTGCCGTCTCTGGAGGGTAGGAGACTTGGTTGGCTTGGGTGGAGGACCACTCCCCAACTAAAAATCTAAATCATGGGCTGTATGTTTTGATAAGATGTGCTGTTCACCCTAGAAACAGTGGCTGACTTGCTTTGGGTGAAGCGTAGACATTGAATGTGTTCTTAGACCTCTTCGTTTCATCGCTTAAGACAGACTGATAACCTAGCGATTATTCTTCCAAGGAAGAATTAGTGGTATCTTGAACTGTTAGAAACTTTCAGGTGCGCTCGCACATTCGCACCTCACATCCGGAACTGCAAGGTGAAATTCCTCGAGACAATCGCAACTCGGTCACTGTGCCAGAAGCTCAGCGCTACCTCGCCCACTGTTATCCTTCGATTGACTGGGTGAGCATGCATCGAATTTGCTGATAGCTTCAGTTTTCTTAATTGCTGCATTTAAGGCGCCCACCAGTATGCAAATATCTTCCCAACTATGAAAAAGGATGGCGGGGAACAGACACAGACGGAACTCCGAGATCCAGGCGCCGAATGGTATACGGTAATTGATGAAAGCAATCTGAACACCCCCGTGCAGTGCAGTGCGTGCAGACTGATGGTGAGCTTTTCGTCTTATTCTTTTGTCAAGCTTAACGTTATTACATATTATCTGTATTACGCTTCATACTTTTTTTAGCTGATTCTATTATCTGTACTTTGTTCGTCACGTTTTTCTTGGCTTATATTTTGATTCATTTAGCTGTTGTATTATATGTTTGTTTGTGGTCTCATTGATATTTTTTTAAAGTAGTTTTTCGTTTTTTATTATTTGTTAAATATCATTTGTTTCCCCAACGAGAGTTAGTTTCTTCGCATACTAAATTGTAAAGTATGGCCTGGCGCTGTCTGTCGACGGGGGTCGACATTTTGTATTATCATTGCTTCACCTTAGTTCCGGTTACAACTCTCACTCTGCGTAAAAGCTTGACTCTTGTAAAGTCTAGCCACTATCCTAAAACGTGTCAACTCGAGAAACGGCTGCCTAGATGGGTCGACACATCTATGGAAAGCAAAATGCCCCCCCCCCGTCGACAAAAAAAGACCGTTTGAGGGCCTCCTGTCGAATATGTATCTTGCCCCGACTATCTTTCATAATAGGTACTTTGGCACTATTGAATTATTCCTACCCCAAAAAAGCTGAAAAAAATTTTTTTTCGCTGAAACATTGCCTGATGTAATCCGATGCGCTGATCACGAATATCACATCGTCTTCAAGCGCTGGCGTTGGGCGCCACTATGCGCCAAAATGGCGCCAAATGGCGCCAGCGCCTGAAACCAGTGTGATATTCGTGATCAGGATGTCGATTAACCCCCATATGCAAGTTTTCATCGACTTTGGTGAAAAAAAAGTGAGTGGGCGCCAAATTGATGCCGCATAATGCGGCGCAAATGCGCGCGAAACTTATGTCAATATTCGTGATCAGGCGCAATCGATGTTACGTCTTATAGAGCAACGTTTTAGCGAAAAACTTTTTTTGAGTTTTCGGGGTAGGAATGGTTCAATAGTGCTGTTACTTTAAACTGTTCTCAAATGACTGGTGAGTTACAGCCTTGTTTCTTTAGGTGGCCCTCAACAAGCACAGCATCGAAGATCACGTAAAGACGATGCACAGCAGCGGACGACCTTACCAGTGTGGGAATTTGCAAGTACACCAGCGTCGAAGAAGTACTTCCTTGTTCTCTTCTACTCTCTGTTCTTAATTTTCTGCCCTACCAGTCATGATATTTCAGTGGAAAGTTCGAGTTCACGCGTCTATCAAACATCCGGAAACGCCATGCCTTCAAATGCTCACTGTAGCCTCACACAGTAAACCCTACCTCTACATCAGAGAACTTTTCCCGGATATTGCAGGTGAGTCTGATTAAGTTGTCGGTCCTCAGCTGAAGTTGGCTAGAAGGTGCAGTGCAGGTCACAGGTTTGCTATCACACTCATCAAGAAGTGTTGTGGCCATCTTCTTTTCACCGGGAGAGGGAAGGTGGGTTATTCGGTCTAGAGCATTTGCCTAGTGCCCCGTTTGTCTAGCACTGAGGTGCAGCCAACGTGAGTTTCGTGATGGCGGATGAGATGATATCCCTCCGCTCCCGTATCCCCGACTGGGTAAGTATTTCTTATCGCCTCCAGTGGTGTGATGAGCAACAACTGATCACTCCATCTAAGAGGGTTAAAAGTCTATAACCACGGGTATAAACGATCAATCAGAATTGTAAATTCGGCACTTGTACATTTTTCTTTAGTCTTACTTTTGCACCATGATTAAAATGTTGTCCTTTCAGCCTTGCTGCCCGAAGACGAAGTTGACGAAATGCTCTATGGTTTCCGACAACTCAATCCATCCGTGCTGCTCTCAGTGCCGACCTCACTCAATTCGCTTTCTGACACAGTTGCTGATAACACTGTCGCTGATTCTACCTCATGTTTTGACCTCAAACCACCCAAAGTATGTCCATTTTCATCGAACTCTGATACACCGGTGTAGTCCTTTGAGAGAGAATGTTGTGGAAGAGTCCATCAGAATGGATTTACCCTGAACTTTCAAGCGTGCTGTGTTCTAGAGCAGCGGGTCATTACACTGTTCATGTGTGAGGGGGAAGGGGAAGGGCTTCGAAGTAAGCCCGAAGACGGCTTTGAGGATTGAAAGAAGGGGAGAGATGTGCGGGAACATTCGGTGCTCAAACATGCAGCCGTCGCCAGGCGTGCTTGGAAGCGTCCTTTGGACTGTTTGTTCAAAGGCTACAGTGAGTAAGGGCTCAAAGTTATGCATATGGGAATAGGAAGGGTATTTGTCCCTAAGACAACACAAAAGTAATATCAAATTAGTCCACTGAAGCGTGGCGAGGTATTAAAACTACAGAAGGCACTGTTGCGTTCCAACTGGACGTGATTAACCGCTGATAGCACTCAGATGAAACATGACCGAAAATTCCCGCAAATACT